CCTGTCTCCCTCCCTCCACCACTACCACCCCTGTCTCCTTCCCTCCACCACTACCACCCCTGTCTCTCCCTCCCCACCACCTACCACCCCTGTCTCCTCCCTCCCCTACCCCTGTTTCCCTCCTTCCCACCACTAAAACCTGTCTCCTCCCTCCCACCACTACCCCTCTCCTCCCTCACTGCTACCACACCATCTCCTCCCCCATCTCCCTCCCTCCCACCACTACCACCTGTCTCCCTCCCTCCACTACCCCTGTCTCCTCTCCCCTCACCACTACCCACCCCTGTCTCCCTCCCTCCACCACTACCACCCAATCTCCCCTCCCCTCCCACCACTACCCACCCCTGTCTCCACTCCCTCCCCCTCCCCACCCCTGTCCCTCCCTTCACCCTACCACCCTGTCTCCCTCCCACCCTCCCACCACCACCCCCATCTCTTCCCTTCCACCACTACCACCCGTCTCCCTCCCTCCACCACTACCCCTGTCTCCCTCCTTCACCCTACCACCCCTGTAACCCTCCCTCCCACCACCTACCCCTGTCTCCCTCCCTCCCCCCTTTCCCCTCGTCTCCCCTCCACCACTACCACCCCTGTCTCCCTCCCTCCACCACTACCACCCCTGTCTCCCTCCCTCCACTGCCAGCCTGTCTCCTGTTCACCACTACCACCCCTGTCTCCTCCTTCCAGCACCTACCACCCCTGTCTCCCCTCCCTCCACCACTACCAACCTCGTCTCCCTCCCTCCACCACTACCACCCCTGTCTCCCTCCACCACTACCACCCTTTCCTCCCTCCTTCACCACTACCAGCCCTGTCTCCCTCCCTCCACTAGCCCTTCTGTCTCCCTCCCTCCACCACTACCAACCTCGTCTCCCTCACCTACCGCTCTGTCTCCTCCTGCCTACCACCCCTGTCTCCCTCCCTTCACCACTACCAGCCTGTCTCCCTCCCTCCACCACTACCACCCCTGTCTCCTCCCTTCACCACTGCCAGCCTGTCTCCCCTCCCTCCCACCTACCCCTGTCTCCCTCCCCTTCACTACAGGCCCTCTCTCCTTCCCTTCACCACTCCCACCTGTCTCCCTCCTCCCCACCACTACCCACCCCTGTCTCCCTCCCTTCACCCACTACCAGCTCTGTCTCCCTCCCACCACTACCCTGTCTCCCTCCCTCCCACCACCTACCAGCCCTGTGTCTCACCTCCCTCCACCACTACCACCCCTGTCTCCCCTCCTTCACTGCCAGCCCTCTCTCTCCTTCCTTCACCACTACCACCCTGTCCTCCTCCTTTCCTTTTCACCACCCTGTCTCCTCCCTCCACCACTACCACCTGTCATGCCTCCCTCCATCCCACTACCACCCCTGTCTCCCTCCCTCCTACAACCACCCCTGTCTCCCCTACCTTCACCCACTGCACCCCTGTCTCCCTCCCTCCCACCACTACCAACCTCGTCTCTTTCCCTCCTCCTATACCCCTGTCTCCCTCTCTCCTCCACTACCACCCCTGTCTCCCTCCCTCCACCACTACCAACCTCGTCTCCCTCCCTCCACCACTACCACCCCTGTCTCCGTCCCTCCACCACTACCAACCTCTGTCTCCCTCCCTCCACCACTACCACCCCTGTCTCCGTCCCTCCACCACTACCAACCTCGTCTCCCTCCCACAATCTCCCGCCGCTCCCTCCAACACGCACCCCGGCTCTCCTCCACCCATCCTCCGCCGCCAGCTTAAACACTCCTCTCTCACCAAATATCCCTCACTCTCCTCCACCTTTCTCCCTCATCATTCTCTCCACTCATCTCGTCCACCATGTACTAGTTACTTTTCTCTGAACTCTGAGGGTTAATATTTTTTTCGTGGTTAGCTCTTTTGTGTCTATTTGTCTCTTTCTGTCTGTCTGTCTGTGTGTCTGTCTGTATGTATGTATGTCTGTGTGTGTCTGTCTGCCTGTCTGTCTGTAATAATAATAATAATAATAATAATAATAATAACAATGATGATAATAATAATAATAATAATAATAATAATAATAATAATAATAATAATAATAATAATATAATTAGCGGTTTATTGAAAAGGTTTTGCAGCCCGAAGGCTGAAAATATACATTGGACAAAAATGACTTTTTACTTATAAAGACATGGGGTGGGTGGGTCGTTTAACAAAAGCTTTCATTACTGAAAGGAGAAGGAACAATGACTGAACATACAAATTATTATTGTTTACAGTTGATGGCCCGGGCCTGGGCTGGTCATGGAGACACCAGGTGGTGTGGTGTTCACATGGTGTAGTAACTCGTCCTCGGGTGTTGATATGTAGGACCTCACGTGGTCATGGGGACACCGGGTGGTGTGGGGTGGTGTTATAGTACCTCGCCCTGCTGGGTGGTGTTGTGTTATCTCGTAATCAGATGCATAGCCGGCCTTCCCGCCCTCTGTTGTTCCCATGGTGGACTGATTAGCATCTTCTGGTGAGAAGACGGTGGTCAGTTCCCAGGGGTACTTATCCCACTGGTAGGTCACAGCTCTCACTTGTACTGTCTAGTGCTGAATTCAATGGCTTAAACATTGTTCATCAATGTTCAACACTGGTCTCACTTCTTTCCGAAACGAAATTGTTACTTTTGATTATGTTGATATCCTGGTGGTGGGGATGGGTCGGGGAGAGTGACTTGGGGAATGGGCCGAACATTGGCCAAGGGGGGGGCCGGTGCTCAGCAGGAGCAGCGACTGAATACGTCTTGACCCTACGGTGGTCAAGGATGTAGTGTGTGTGTGTGTGTATGAGAGAGAT